ATTCATAATTTAATATAAAATTTATAATAAACATGTATTTCTACAAGCTACGTTCACAAAATGCAAGGATTTTTATGAATACACAATTGACGAAGTCATTTCATTTTCGAATAGAAATAAGACTCTTGTATATTTTAATATTGAATAATACAAATAACAAACTTTTTAATATCAAATTAAATTTACACACCGAACCGTGATGCTAAATATTTCTTAGAAAACTGCATCTGCATATGTATATATTTTCATTAATTCGTAATGTATTTTTCATCGCAATTAAGCACATCACAATTAATATAGTGACAATACCTAAGTGCACAGTTTACAATTAAATTATAAATAACAGTAAAATATATTCACACTTTTTCTCCATGCACACGTACATTGTGTATTTCGATATTTGTTGTTCTTTTTCTCGAAGAATTCGTTCACGCGTTAGATATGTAGATGCATATATGTATATGTATGCATACATATGCATACACGAACGAAGAACAGAATTCACGTGTATGCATTATGCAAAATCGATAGAACTCCAATACGTTCATGAATAAATATTTGATACTCACAAAAATCAAAATGCATACTTATTACGAGCACAACATTGAACTTTGTATGTACATAGGTACATACCTAGGAGTACATACTACACATGTACTACCTATACATACATACGTACACATATATGCGCTTGGAATGCGACTGTCGAAATCGGTTACAGAATGCAAATTACACTTTGCATGTACATAAAACGCATTGGTATCGAATGTGTACTAATGGAATTCGATTGAATAACTCTTCAATGTTGAATCGATTGATATTTATGAGCACGTACATGTAGATATCGGACTTGGTCATACCACTTCTGCCAGGTAATCTTGCAATGTAGATTACGTGGCAACTTCGTAAGCAGATTTAGACATTATAAACAGAGTTTGCAAAATTTAATGCAATAAACGATAAATTAGTTAATAGTTTTGGTAAATTTCAAATTTAACCAATTTTACAGACAATTGTAATCAAGCAAAGTTATACGGTAACAGAATTTCAACTCCGCTTCGATTAAAAAGAAACGAAACAAATCAATTCTGATTTGTATTTTTTTCTTTTTTTTTAATTCTAACGCACAATTCACGAATTTTGTAAAATTTTCGTGAATTAATACAATCAATACCGAATATTGATAAAAACAAAAAATGTAAATTCTAAAAGCATGTACCACCGAAGGAGGCAACTGCATAAATTAAATTGTACAATCTAAAGTCCGACTAGCATGCGCGTCTCTCTACGCGCAGATCTGGTGTCTGGATAAACAATTATCGTCTGGCAATCGTATTGTATAGTTCACTACCGGTCAAAGCTTCATTTCCTCCAGCAGGTTACTCAATGATGGAAGTACGGCCGGAATTATTGACCGAATTGAGTGAAAAGTTTTCCAAAAAATTGTTGGACACAGGAATCTCGGCTCCCGGTACGTATATTAAATTTCGTTCCTTAAAATTTATCTTCCTTCGCGTGTTGTTGCACGATCAACGAGTGACTCGAACAAAAGAGCAAGATCCGATCCTGGTGTCACGAGCCCAGGTCGATCCTTTTATTGTCACCTTATATACATATTTTCAATTAAAAAATAATTCTAACTTTATATACTCCTCTACATTTTTCTCGTTTCATTTTAAATATTAAATCGTACAATATGTTGTTGGAAATAAATATATAATAGAACCGGTCCATTAAACTGAGATGAGATTTCAGATTTCTTTCATCCCGCCGACATTGCCAGAGTAGAGAAGAAATCCTGGTTGAAAAGATTTCTAGAACACAATGATTGTAATGTGGACGAAGCACTTAATATGTTATGGCAGACTTGCATCTGGAGAAAAACATTTGGAGCAAATGGTGAGCATTTAATTCCTGTGCGCTCTAACGTTCCAGCTCTTCGCTTGAGATTCTAGTTATTGCGACTATTTAATTTAACCATGTATCGATAGTAAAATATCGTTATCGAATCGATGTTGTCTGATCGTAGAGCTCACAGAAGATGTGGTCAAACGAGAATACTTAGAGGATGGATTGTGTTTCATTCACGGCCATGACAGAGATGGCAAAACAATGTTTGTTATTAGATGTAAATTGTACACAAAAAAAGGTAAAGACTATGAGGAATTACAAAAGGTTGTAGTGTACTGGTTTGAAAGATTAGAAAGGTAACACAGAATTATTGAAACATTTAATGCGATTCGAGAAACATCGATGCCATTCGCGTGCGCGTTTTATTATTTCAGACATACCAATGGCGATCAAATATCACTTTTCTTCGACATGGCAGACACTGGCATCTCGAATTTGGATATGAACTTTATCGAATACATGACTGGTCTTTGTAAAAATTATTATCCGAATTTTTTAAATTATATCATCATATTTGAAATGCCATGGATATTAGAAGCTGCTTTCAAAGTTATCAAATCGTGGTTACCACCTAAAGCAATTCCGAAAATTAAGTTTGTCCAAAAGAACAGTATTCAAGAATATGTAAATCAGAGTGACATACTTATCTCTTGGGGTGGTAGCAACGATTATACCTTTCAATTTGTACCAGAAGCACAAACGAACGCGGAGGCTACAATGAATGGTAGACTTGACAACAAAAAGGTATATAAACTAAGATTTTCTTATACAATGTATAATGAAACATTCTTAAAATATTCTTCAACATTTAGGTACATTTTGCAGAAGGTTCTCCATTATTGGAGCAATCTCCAATTAGTTTCGGAGAACAGGGGGACGAAGAGGAGTGTAAGTTAGAAATTTTATGTAGGTCTCTGTTTATGCTTTCATTCTATCCTAATGCATGGTATTTTGCAGTGTTGCTGTCTGTTGAACCAAAAACAATCGCATTCACGAAAACAGGAAATGAGACAGCTGGAACAATCACACTAAAAAATATAACAACTGACAAGCCTCTGTTTTATAAGGTATTAGATGTTTCTTCATTTTTTGCAGTGCAAACAATGTTACATTATTGTTGTTATTATCATTATTATTATTATTATTATTATTATTATTATTATTATTATTATTATTATTATTATTATTATTTGTATTATTATTATTATTATTATTATTATTATTATTATTATTATTATTATTATTATTATTATTATTATTATTATTATTATTATTATTATTATTATTATTATTATTATTATTATTATTATTATTATTATTATTATTATTATTATTATTATTATTATTATTATTATTATTATTATTATTATTATTATTATTATTATTATTATTATTATTATTATTATTATTATTATTATTATTATTATTATTATTATTATTATTATTATTATTATTATTATTATTATTATTATTATTATTATTATTATTATTATTATTATTATTATTATTATTATTATTATTATTATTATTATTATTATTATTATTATTATTATTATTATTATTATTATTATTATTATTATTATTATTATTATTATTATTATTATTATTATTATTATTATTATTATTATTATTATTATTATTATTATTATTATTATTATTATTATTATTTGTAGGTGAAAACTACGTCTCCTGAAAAATTTAGGGTACGATCGAGTTCAGGAGTTATATTGGCACAAACTAAACGGGTTATTTCCGTTGTTTTGCAACCTGGATACAATTTACGAAATCTTTTGCACAATGATAGATTCTTAGTCATGTGCCTTCCATTGAAGGATGCGAACACATCCGCTCAAGAAATAGCTGCACTTTGGAAGGTAGAGTGACAACATTGATAAATTTTATAAAACATATAGCTGTGCAGAGAATTGTCAATTTGTTTCTTTGTAGAGTGAAATAAAGCCAGAGGAACATAAATTAAGATGCTGCGACGGAGACGCTGATAGTAATGATAAACTAAAACCTCATTCTATATTGTCCGGAATGTCCGAGAGCAGAACGATGGACGCACTTTTCCATAATGTAAGTGACAATGAAATGACTTGCAATAAACGACGGAGGAATCTCATTCGTAATTGAATTGACAATTGCAGGTAGCACAATTGAAAGAAAGTAACGCGAGACTTCGAAGCGACGTCACTTTCTTAAAATACTCACAATTATTTTCTATAATAGTGACTATTGTAATGGCTATGCTGGTTGTTTACGTTTTAAGGATCGACAGTAATAACGGGCCTATGGAGCAAGACGACTGTCATATTCCCCATATATAACTAGATACGTGTTTGAGTTATCTGTACATGCAATAGACATATTTTTATTGTCCCGTATTTATGTTTACGAAGTGGTTGCATTCGATAGGCATTCGTTCTTTTCTTTATTCCTAGCTCATGTGGTTTTTTTGTCTCTTCGATATCGTCGTTGTAAAATGACGTAAAATCTTTTTAAATCCATCATTATTGGTACACAATAAGCAATAAGTTGCTATTATTTTTAATGAATCTTTATGTATAATATATTTATCAGGAAGGAAGATGTGTTATTATTACTATAAAAATATATGACTAAATAGAATTATTTTTATAACGTTTTACACATGTTTCTATATGCTATTCGTATTCGGCATAAATTATATACATACAGTGCTTTATATCGATTCGTCAGGAAGATTCAGAAATTTAATTTGCTTGTCGATCATTTGCGTTATATGCAAATTAAACTCTCCATTGTGAAAAACGTATTATGTAATACACGATATATTGTTTGTACGTTTTTTATATCTATGTAGTAATATACATATGTTTCTGTTACATCTATATACAAGGATAATAAACATTAGCATAGATCATACCAAATTTGTATTAAAACAACAAAGGAGACTTCTATTAAGTCCTCTTTATATTACATGCTAGGATTAATGTGTGTGTGTGTGTGAATAGTTAATTATATTTACACGTTTATACTTTCTTAGTAATGCCTTTATAAATTGTGTTACTACAATAAAATCTATATTTATTATATATTTACTATATTTACATTTAACGAGACATGTTTATTGTTCACTTGTGTGTTACCGACTAGTGATCGATCATTTAATTACTTTATATACTAAGAACATCATCAACCAATCATTCGATCGTTTATGTTTAAGAAGAGAATACAGTTATTGCACACTAATGTAGAAATGTATTACAATCCTCCAAGTACATAAAAAATGAAACCACGCAACACACGTTTCGTAACAATCTTATACAATTATAGAACGGATGCATTTAACGCTAATCGAGCAAAAACTATTCGATCGATCGATGAAACCGATCGTGAATATAAATCGTTGGTTGTCAATAATTGATCAAATATATTCGTCTTAACGACAATTGATAAAATCGAGTATTTCAATTGCATCGAATGTTACCTAACTCCGGCTAGCTGAGTAGGTAAATACGTTTGCAACATTTTGGTAATAAAACCAAAAGAAAAGAAAAGAAAAAGAAAAAAGTAACGACCACTTTGGCCAACTTTGGCACTTTGGAAAGTGGGCAAGCAATTGTCAGCAAGTGTATCTCTCCCACTCCCCACCACACAAAATCCTTCATTTTTTCCCCTTTCCCAATCAGAAACTTTCCCGCTCTTTTTTCACGGCGTCCCTTTTCTATCTTGGCCAATCGCGATCTGCACGAACGTGTACGTAATAAATTTATCCGATCGCATTGCAAATCGTGTTCAACGTTACCACGGCTAGCAAATCGAACTGTGGCACGCGCGAGTACAGTTCCAGAGGTTCGCATGGTTGTAAACATAAAGAAAGGGCGTGCAAGATGAGAGGAAAGAGGTTGGCTCAGTCTGGTAAGGTCACGGAAGATTCAACGATTCAACAGCCGGAAGTACCTAAAACAACGGTCGTCCGGTGTAAACATGACGAGCGACGCGTGCCCATTGCGCAGCTGCCAACGCGCAGCATTTGAACGTTCGCAGTTCGATCGGCCATATTGCCCTCCGGGTCTTACACAACGCCCTCACACGAACGATCGTGAGTTTACGAGGTAAGACGAATATTTGGAGGTTTCGGTGGTGTGCTGGCCTGGCGCAACGTAGAAATACGTTTCCCTGTGAAGAAAGACGATTTTCAGTAGCAATCGAAGGAACCTGCAGCCACTGGTCGCGAGCGAAACGCGGTACATCGGTGAGTTATCCGAAGCACGTAGCAGAACGGACAGTATTCCCTTCCGTCGCGTCCTCCATATTGATGACAGCGCCGACGGTGATAATTTTCTGAAATTTTTGTCGTTAATGCCCCCTGTGTCCTGAAATCGAAAGCACCCGCGTTGTCTTAAAAGCTTTCCGACAGAATGCGCAACTTCGGGGACTCCGGTGTCCCACGAGAGGCTCGTTAGCGGTTTCGAGAAGCCTGCTGGACCGCTGCGTATTTCCACGCGCTCATTCGTCCATCGCCGCCGCGATCCTGCATTTTGCTTATGGCGTCATCCTCGTTCGCATTACCCGCTTCGCGTGTTACATGGCGTTCCGCAGCGGCATGCGTCGCTTCTGTCAATCCTGTCTTGTACTCGGAACGCTAATCACGCCTCTGCGCTATGCTGGAATTTCGGTGATCGTCAGGCCCGGGCCGGGCCCGGCCCGGCCCAGCCGTCAGTCGGGCTCGCCAATTTTCCCGCTCACAATCAGTCTTCCATGAATGCGCCCGTCCATTCTTTCGTACCTTCAATTTCTTCGGCCCAGATATTGATTTTCCCCGTATTTTCCACACAGTCACGATGCCCCGCGTGCATTACCGCCTTTATTCCCGGTAGTAATCCAGTCGGGCTCGTGTTAACTGTACGCACGCACGTGTTTCGTACGTTCCTCGATTCTAATACCGATTACACTTGCGCATTCCATCGACACCCTTGTCCGTACTTAGCTGTCGTATGTCATATCATACTTCGAATTCGTACTTATGTTCTAGTTTTCTTATGATTTTCCGGTGTACTTACTACTTACACGAACCGCAGCGTTCGTTCGATGATGTTCATTCATGTATTTGGCCGCGAAATATGAGATGTCGGTACTTAAATTGTTCACCATTTGATCACTCGATCGAGCGATTGTATGGTTTTTTCTTGTTACCTTTAAAGTTCATAGAGTTCTTCATCAGTTATTATTTACCTTCTCTAACTTTTGGAGCTCTGTCATTTTTTCCTGAAACTCTAGACGATCTGTATCTATACGACAGTGTTGTCTAATGAGATGAAATGATCCCAAGTTCAAACTTGGGCATTAGATGGCTCGTGTTAAATTCATTGCCATTATTACACGAGGTGCATGGAATTGAGCTGGTGCGAATGGGCGATCGTTTCCTCTTTGGTAGACGTCGTCGTGTGAAAATTCTCCAAAAGTTAAAAAAGACAAGAATGGTAATCGACGAGAAACCGTGTAAACTTTGAGATAACCAAAAGAAACATATACCTACAAATCGTACGCTTCGTATTACACGATCCAATAATACCGATACTTGTCCTACTCGGCTGCATGCTAAGCTCGGAGCATATGTTTTTCCTTTTTTCTTTCTTTCTTTTTGTTTTAAGTTGTACGTAGCTTATTTTTTTGTATCTGAACTCCGAAACCATGTTTGCAAAAAAATAAATTAAACTTAATGTCATTTTTTTACATTATAGTAGTAAACTTGAAACGACTTGGAATAAATTAATTTCTACCATTGGAAAGAATGAGAAGTTTCGTATAGAAAATATGTAAACTTTAAGAAAGGAAAGACTCTAGCTCCAGAGTTTACATTATTTGTCAAAAGAAAATATATATCTTGTTTCCATACATAAGAATTTGTACATTCCCCGTTCTTACAACGTTTGTATGTGTTTGCATGCTACGACGAGTTCCAATTGTATTTGATTTTTCTAAATAGTCGTATGTTTTGTCATAATTCGATTTCTCTGTATAGAGTGTCGCATTATTTCAGACGAGACACCGTGTAAATTTTCACAATGATGCAGACTAAACGATACATTATAGTATATACACAATTTATATCTTGGAACGGCCTATTCGTACTGTAAACTGAATGCTGTAATTGATGTTGTTTCAGACTAATGACAGGCAATCTAATTGCATAATTTAATGATTCTACCATGACGAGTAACGTAGCAACAATTAAATTAGAAGAGGGGCAAGAATCTGTAACAGAGATACAAACGTACTTGGAGACATTTAATAAAGAAATAGAAGGAGGTCAAGGGGAGCAATTGCAGCATGTACAATGTTAGTATTATCGTATTCGATTCATGATCGTACGTGTATATCCATACGAGAACACAATCGCTATTAACATATCGCGCTGTAGTGCAACAAGTGGAGGGATTGTCGGGTGGCGAGGAAGGTGGAACTTACTTCGTTGACCAATCTGGCCAATATTACTACCAAGCGAATAGCGACGAGACACCTGTGATGACACAAGTGCAGATTCAAGAAGTAGAGGAAGCTGACGTACAAACCGAAGGTGATGGTTCTCAGGAAGAGCAATATCAGGAAATTGAGGAGCTCGAGAATGTCGATGGAGACGAAGATGTACGTGAAAATAATTTATCTCGTGTGCCTATCGCTCTAGTATCTTAATACAATAACAAAATTTAATTAATCGACAGGGACAAGTGGCTACCAATGAAAACAATCAAGTTGTCATCAACTCCGGTGATGCGTATCAAACGGTCACAATTGTTCCGTCTGACACCAATCCCGGAGAAGTCAGTTACGTCTTGATAGTCCAACAACCAGACTCCGAAGATAAAGAAAGCCGACCCGTGGAAAGAGAGGGAACAGAGGGCGAAGAAGGAGAGGGTGAACAAGATCTTACTGTTTACGATTTCGAAGACAACGAAGACAATGAAGCACCTGTTGAGTCAGAGGCAGAGGATGATAAAACCAAAATTATCAAGTTCCTACCGAAGAAATCCCAAACAGTTACTCAAGCTCACATGTGTAACTATTGTAACTACACAAGCCCAAAGCGGTACGCACAGCTTTCGTTATCGTAGCTTCGTTGGTCTTTCATTCCGATAGGTAAGAAAACAAGTTTTATTTTTTATCCAGGTACCTGTTATCAAGACACATGAAGTCGCACTCGGAAGAGAGACCGCACAAATGTAGCGTTTGCGAAAGAGGATTTAAGACGTTAGCTTCGCTTCAGAACCACGTTAATACACATACCGGGACCAAACCTCACCATTGTAAATTCTGCGACAGTGCATTCACAACTTCGGGTGGGTATAATATCCGTGCCGCTTTAGAATTCGATGTAACGATTATTTCCTTTTCTATGAAGAAGAGGAGTCAATTTGTTACGGCAAAATACCGGAACATAAAAAAGCATGGTGATCATCGTTAGTTTTTATTTGTAGGTGAACTTGTTAGACATGTTCGGTATAGGCACACGCATGAAAAACCACATAAATGTCACGAATGCGATTACGCATCCGTTGAACTGTCCAAATTGAAACGTCACATTAGATGTCACACAGGGGAGCGACCATATCAGGTACATTAAAGCCGCTACTTTGTCTAATACTTATCCTATTTAGATGCAATCATTACACACAATTGCGGTTGTCATCCATTCTGTACCTGTATTTTAGTGTCCGCATTGTACATATGCTAGCCCTGATACATTTAAGCTCAAACGACACTTACGAATACACACTGGAGAAAAGCCATACGAGTGTGATTTTTGTCAAGCAAGGTTTACTCAATCTAACAGTCTAAAAGCTCACAAACTTATACACAACGGTATGTAAAAATTTTATCTTTCCGTCTACAATTTGTTGGTACTTCGATATCTCTTCGAGGATTTCCTTTATTGTTTGCTATAACGTTGTCAATTGCAGTCGGCGATAAACCAGTATTTCAATGCGAACTGTGTCCGACAACGTGCGGCCGTAAAACAGATCTCAGGATTCATGTACAAAAATTGCATACCTCAGACAAACCTTTGAAATGTAAGCGCTGCGGAAAAACATTCCCAGACAGGTATGTGTGCAAGACACGTTGTATGCAAAACCAAAACGACATCATATTGTTTTGTCTAGTAAATATGAGGCACTTCATATTTTTTGATTTTGTAGATATAGCTATAAACTGCACAGTAAAACTCATGAAGGAGAAAAATGCTACAAATGTGATTTGTGCCCATATGCATCAATATCTGCGCGACATCTCGAAAGTCACATGTTGATACATACGGATCAGAAACCTTATCAGTGTGATCATTGTTTTCAATCATTTAGACAAAAGCAACTACTCAAGCGGCATTGCAACCTTTACCATAATCCTACTTACGTTCCTCCGCCACCGCAAGAAAAAACTCACCAATGCCCTGAGTGTGAACGACCGTTCAGGTATGTACACCGCTCGCTATTTTGACATTCAGAAAAAGAAAAGAAAAACAAATGATATAGTATACCACGCGGATATTTTCGAACTACACATCCTACAAACTACTTCTAATTCAGGCATAAAGGGAATCTTATTCGCCACATGGCTGTTCACGACCCAGAATCGTCTCTGCAAGAAAAGCAGCAGGCGTTGAAGATGGGCAGACAGAAAAAGATTCAGATCATTGACGGGCAAAGGGTCGAGGTGATGACAGGTGAGATTCAAAATTTAGCAAATCTTGCTTTGATTCACTTATATGTGTACGATTGGTAATTCGATAGCGCGATACCGTTACTCGAATCATCTTCAACCGAGTAAATTATTGACACATATACGATGAACAAATCATTGGAACTTGCGATCACAGGGACACTTACGATATGATCTGTACCCTCAGGTCATTGACTAATATCCATGTGTTGTGTTGAATGGTAACAGGTGATTTAGCTTCTAAACTTAAAGGTTACGAAGAGGAAGAGGAGGACGAGGAAGATATGATGGCGGTCGAGGGAAGCGATGGTCAGCAGTACGTAGTGTTGGAAGTGATTCAGCTGGCGGACAACCAGGGAACCGATCAGGTGAATATCTATGAGACTGTCTGTGTTCTTCTTGCGACAACGAGGAGCCTTTAGAAATCTGTACACAAACGTGGCGAACAATGACGTGTGTGTTGTGTTTGCAGATGGCTGTCGTGGCAAGCGAGGACGGCGACCTTGTAATGCAGGATCCTCTGAGTCAAGAAAGCGGAATCGTGACCGGCACAGGGGAAGAAGGAGATGACGTGGAAGAGGACGAGGCCGAAATGGACGAGTTGAAACTGGATACGGGAACGTCTACGAAAGCATCGTCGCAAAACACGCAGAGCGATCCAAAACTGCAGAAGGAGATGGAAACCTGTTTTGGATTTGACGAGGTACGCGATAATCGTACAGTTTTCTTTTTTTGTTTCTTTCTCTTTCGATGAAACGAAGTCGATTAAAAGTTTATTCGGATCAAATGTTGGTGTGCTTAGGAAGAGGAAGACGAAGAAGAGGAAGGAAATAGCAATATCAATATATTGCAGACAATTTCGTAATGAGAAGAACACAGACGAGAGGACCTATCTACAGAATAGTCAAATGTTTTTTCGTCTCTTTCACAGTGTCAGTGCACAAACTGCGAGTGCGGTGTACTATTATTTCAAAGACTCTGTGCATAGCTCCAATGAAGCTACTTTTCAGGGCTAGAGTGGTCCACATACATGGTACAAGAACTCTTTCTGCCACTAGTGCATTAGGTGTATCTAATAATTTATGAACGAACAGTAGTCTCGTGGTTTAGTGAAAATATCAATCGAATGTGCAATTATAATAATGTAAAATATTTTACTTTATTATCGGTGAGAATTATATATTATTATATACGATATATATTGTATATAATATATAATGTATATTATATATAATATGTACTATATATAATATCCCCCTTTTTCTGGGAAACGTCGACTCGAGTCGGCTAAGCACATTACTATTGATATGAAGAAACAAAACAGATATATTAAGAGAATAGGTTGACATAATATTTTTAAACCGAGCTATTTAAAAACTTTAATATAAAAGCACGGCGCATAGTGAAATGTTTTGAAACCGGCTGAGCAGCAGTCGGGATTGTTGGAGCGTGGTTTAAGCGAGACCGAAGTTACAAGATAAAGTGAGGCTGCGGTGTAAATAAATGCTTTCCGATTACACCTCATTTTATAGAGACAAATACAGTGTTCTGTGAATGACTAGAATAATGGAAGGCGCTGAATTTTACGTTTACAACGTAAACGAAATTTATATATACATAGGCATGTATATAATGAATCGGTAATGACGAAAACGAACACGATTAGGGGATTTTCCGTTTAACCTGAAAGCCGTTACGTTCGTCACTGTATGTATATAGGTATTTCGTAATAATAATAAACTGTCATTTTACAAGTAAGTACCTACAAATCGCTATTAATGATTCTAATTACACGGGGTTCAACTTTTTCGTTAATAAGAGTACGAATGCCAGATAATAACCCAACATTTGAGTGTAACGTTACAATTAGCAGTGTGTTTGTAATGTTTTATTTTCCTTCTCTTTAAAGAAATTATTGTCTTGCTCTCAAGAAAAACACGAGCTAGTTGAAACGTTGTTTTTTAACTGGGTTTAATTGTGAATATGAAATGAAGAAAAACGTACGTTGATCAAACACAAATTTGTGCAGGGAGACGTTCTACAAACCAGTTTGCTTTATTATTATTATTATTATTATTATTATTATTATTATTATTATTATTATTATTATTATTGTCATTGTAATATGCGATTGTGTGATATCCAAACGCGACGGTTTTCTCATCGGTACAGATAATATAAGTTCCAATTGTAATCAATTTATTATTGTAAACGTAATTTAACACGCAGTTTTTTCGTACACTATTGCACGTAAGTTATGCTATGTACCTCGACAGAAACAAATATTGTAAGGAGAACAAAAAAAAAGATGGAAAACAAAGAACATGTAAAATTTTTTTACGCTCGTGCTGTAAAATTGTAATTGAGTGACTGATAATCATTACGTGCTCTACGAAACGAAGCACTTTCATACATTATCCCAAAGAAAAACGGTGTAGCATTTTCTCTGTAATAAACGTTATGTCATCGACGATGATTTTTCATGATTCCTCTACTCTAACTCTTATTCGATTTCTGATTATTAACATACAATTGTCGCTTAGATTTTTTTATTTGATCTACGAACGGAATTTTTACGGAAGTTTCGGAGAATTATATTCAAAAATATCTTGATATTTAAAAAATATTGATAACAATAGACTGCAGTACTTACAAAGGATAAGAATTCTTTTGTCACAGTTGACAATGATCCATAAATCGTTGATTACTATCGTTAATTATAATTTGTTATCGATACGTGTTTTCTATTCTATCCACGATCTATGGCTGTACGATTGTTAATTAAAATACGATTTTCAATTTCTGTGAAATGCGAGATCTCGTCTGTGATAAATACATGAATTTCGGCGAAATTAGGATACAAGAAACTAAAGCAAGGGTATGTAATTGTTCCAGCAGAATCTATTGCGTCAATATCGTATACAAGCACAAACGACAACATTGCGAAACGTTAATTAATGGCTCCTCGAAGTTTGGTTAATCATTATATTAACTAATTATATTTTGCGCTGTCGTCGTTTGGTTTTCGTACACGATATCGATTCAGCAGATTATCCTGAACAATTCTGTTCCCTTGGTTTAGTTTTCTATGCTCTAATTTTGCCATAATTAATGTAATTTTCATTGTGCGTATGTGGACGATCGTGACGCTTCTTTTGAAGAAGAACAGAAGCTCTGCGTAATGTCTGTACAGCGCCAATCGGTGCAGTGACAAAACGTTTGAACCACCAGCTAAATTATCAATAGTCGATTTTGACTAACAGTTCGAGCATTTTACCACTACTCCAATTGGCGCTATACGGATGTCGAACGGTGCTCGGACTCTCGCAAGGAGCTTCCAAAAACGATGAATTGTAAGATATATGTGCATGACACGGTATAAGTAGATTCTCCCGAACAATTCCGTACTCTTGGTTTGTTTTGTTATGACCTAATTTCAGCAAAATCAATGATTTTGGGCCATGTACCTAAAAAAACGAAGCCTACAGTGTATATTATGTACATACATAGTTGCCAGGTATCTGGGGAACGAGTAAGTTGCGCGAAACGAGTTTCGTGGCATCTACAGGCATTGTGACGTTATCATGGGATATATGTGATAATTAAACTCGCCTGTAGAGTGCACTATACGCATACTTTGCCTACCGATATAGCGGCAATATATACAGTTTTACAGTTATATGTAGTTTTAACAGATATACAGTTTAGGCTTTAGGCTTTAGGCTTTAGGCTTTAGGCTTTAGGCTTTAGGCTTTAGGCTTTAGGCTTTAGGCTTTAGGCTTTAGGCTTTAGGCTTTAGGCTTCAGGCTCCGTTCTTTAGGTCCATGGAGTCACGCAGCGCATACATAATGTACAACAGATTATAGATACTTTCTTCGCCGAGAAGTTGGCAGCTGTTTTTTATTCCTCTAGACTCTAGAACTATGAAGTCATTTATGTAGATTTTCGTGAAAGTCATTCTTGGTTGAGGTTAATAATAATTGTAATTAAAAATTATAAAAGAAATAGTGTAAGGTGACGCGAGTGCGATAAGTTTGGAACAATGGATATCGAACAAATTCATGGATACGACATTAAGCAATGTCTAAATTTGATAGTGATTGGCAAAGATGCAGAGGTTATCGAAGGATGGACCAAACTGAAAAAATTAGAAAGCGAGCCAGCATACGGACGATTAAGCGATTACGAAACTATTTTGAGGGAAATACTGAACGATCAGATATTCAATGTGCACGAAGTCCCAAAAATACTGGCGTGGTTCGCAAACTATGTGACCGAGCCATTTTCCGTTAACCCGATTTCGGACGATATCGCGGCGATGATAAGAAACACGGAAATCAGATACATGTCCGATTTAACGATGATACTCCAGACGTTAATGAAATACAGCGAATATCTGCCAGACAGCGCGAACCACTCTAAACTCTGCGAGGCGATTGTCATAAGACTGTCTACATTTTCAATGCCGCCCGATCCAAAAGAGATTTGCGAATTCACCGACAATGCAACCAAAGTTCAAAACTTCTTGGAAACAGTACAAAAGCAGTCTAAGAATATCGAAAGGAACAAATTAATTTTTATATACCTCCAAACATTGTATAGAATTATATCGGACACTAGACGTAAACAGGAGCCCGGACCTGGTTTGGCAGCTATATTACAGCTGGTAGAACCGTCCATCATACCCCAGGCCGTGGATTGGATTCTATCGGAATCGCAGTGCGACGCGCAATTGATCCACGCTTTAAAGGTGCTATGCAATTGGCTTCCAAAGTGGACGAGGGACAGACTCAGTATCTGGATCATGAAATTTATACTCGGTTTAGAGAAGCAACACAAATATTCCGTGCTGGTCGAGGTCACGAAGGCTACCCTCGACGTTATGTTTTACGCTTTGCTGGTGCCGGTGACTCGACAAAACGCTTCTGAAATCGTATATCACGTTTTGAGGAAACAGGGATCCGTGGCTCTGTTTCGTGCGACAGAGAGAAATATACAGAGAGCTTTGACTTTCTTAATGAAAGAAGATTCCGAATCGAGCAAGAAATGCATGCAGAACTTGATCGATATTTTTAAAGCGCACACATTAAGGTTTCCGGGTCAACGTTTATACGGTAACATGGAAAACGGTTTTCCCGTACCACCGAGAATGCAAGTCGTTAACGAGATTTTGGACGATCAGATTTGGGTGAGCGAAACGGAAGAGACAGAGCCGTTGATGGAATCGCCGAAATTACACTCTGGAAAAGTAGGGCTTTCCAATCTTGGAAACACTTGTTACATGAACAGCGTGTTACAGGCGCTGCTAATGACCAGGCAATTTTGTTACGAAGTATTAACGTACAAGCCGTCGAGTAATCCGAACGATCACGTCGTACTTAAAAAATTACAAAAGCTGTTCACCCTTTTATCGTACTCGAAAAGGATGTCATTGGCACCGAACGAAATTCTATTAGCTTCCCGTCCAGCTTACTTCCTACCCGGCCAACAACAAGATAGTTCAGAATTTCTCTGGTTAATATATTGCTATTCTTCTAACGTTTATAAATATTTCTATGTTATAATTGTGCTTTTTACGTCGGGTTTATCGATCGAACGTACAGCCAGTTTGTATAGCCTTATTTTCCAATCGATTTATTTGTTTCAACAGTCATCTATTGAATCTCTTGCACGAACAAGAAAAATCTGCGATCGTAAATTCCGAAGGCAACGACTCCAATCCGAGATACAAGGACGAGAAAGAGATAAACGATGTCTCGTCGATAAACGACGATGGAAGTTCGATCAAACGTTGGACGACCGAAGAAGATTTAACCGGAAGTATATCGTTGGAGAGGAAAACGCAATCGCTGGCTGACTTTTCAGAAGGTACCGTTCGCTAGATTCCAATATCCTATAGATCGTTAGCCGAACGAACTCGTTTCAGGTATCGAGCCGAAGTTTAACACCGAACGTTGTTTCGCAGGAGAAGACCTGGCACAGACGCAGCAATTCAGCGACTCTCGTTCAGACTCGACGGACAGCGGAATACAGTCCGTGGGCGGAGAGGAGACGAGCACGCAAGTTCCTCTGGTGCACAGGGTGCTAGGAGGAAAATGTAAAATTACTTATCAGTGCGCACAGTGCGATACCAGTTCGCACAATACGGACAAGTTTCGTGATTTGCAACTGTGTTTCCCGGAGGAAATACAGGAGAATCAAGAGGTGTCCGTGCAAGATCTCATCAACTATTACCTGACGCCCGAGAAATTGACCGGAGAGAACAAGTACAGATGCGACAAGTGCACGAAGCTGTGCGACGCGCAAAGAATTATCAAAATCCTGCACACGCCGACCTATCTGATCCTGATATTGAAGCATTTCCGTTACGACTTCGACACTAGGTTAAGAACGAAACTTCGGCACAAAGTGATGTACAACGAAACTATACAGTTGCCCGTACCGACGCCTCTGTGCACAACCACCGAAACGTATCAACTGTACGCCGCAGTCGTGCACTCCGGTTACAGCATGGACTACGGTCATTACTTTACGTACGCCCGCGACTCGAAGCAGAACTGGTACAAGTTCAACGACAGCTACGTCTCTCAGACGACCTTCAACGACTTCAAGGACCTGAGACCACCCGACACGCCGTACATATTGTTCTACGAGAAAACGGTACCGTTCGACGGGGTCTACGACGAGGACAAACCGGAATTAACGACGCTGAGCAAAGCGCTGCAAAGCCTGGTGGCGAACGACAGTACAGCTTACATCAAGGAGCTGAGGCATCAAGCGGAGAAATCTCAGCACGGTCGACAAAGCTCCGTGCTGTTGCGGAGGAACGAGAATTCCGACGACGAAAATCCTCCACCCAGCAGTTGTCGGGGAGCGGTCAACATGCCCGCGAGCCGTTTTCTTTATTAGGTTAATTTTCCATTTCGTATTTAAATAGTGTGTATGTATGTATGTATGTATGTATATATATATATATATATATATATATATATATATATATATATATATATATATTCTTTTATAAAAATCGAAGTTCCAGGTGAATTTGTAACGCGTATTCCTTACGACGCCGAGAACGAGAGAAGATAACGGTTCCTTTGTAATCGATAACAGTGCTATTGCCTCGATCGGTGTGTCGATGTAAGTGTTCAGTAGTCCCGAAGAAAACAGTATTTTATAAAAATTGGTACGCATCCCGGACCATATACATACGCATGTACTACCAGATGCGGCGCGTGCACGGTGCGTGTACAGAAAAGCCAAGAGTTCGGCGATGCGAAGAGGACTCGCGAGGAAACGGTTCACCGTGACGCGGCTGGACGATGGTTCAAAATGGCTGGCACGGCATCGGGCTTCGAGTTCGAACGTTGGATGCTATCGGATGCCATCCACTCGCGTTCACCGTCGACGATCGCGTTGCTTGAACTTAATTTTGAATGTTTTTTAAAACATCGGTGCGCGCGCACGCGACGTTTCAAAGGCTGGAAACGGAACGAAAATAGCGGTGGGAACGTAATTTTCCACCGAGAAGTATCTCTCGTTGCTTTTAATTCGGGTATTAGCTAAATGTAATATTTCGTATTCGATCGATCGAATTTTCTTTCTAAAATTTCAATATTTTCGCCCGCCCGTTAACGGTCGAACGTTAAAAGAGATCGACGCGTTTGGAACATCGGTGCGTCGTTCTTTCGAAATCGCGGATACGCGTATCGTAGCTTCCGCATCGAGTTCACCGCGACGTCGCGCACACGATTCGTGTCTCGGCTTCGGACAAGTTATCCGAAGCCGTGTCCATAGTTGTACGTTGCTTAAAGTCTAAGGTGTACGTACGATCGTGTAACCATGGTAATTCTTTCTATTTTCCAATACGCGTTACCGTTCGACCCAGAATCGTACCCTGTACCACTGCGTAACGCGTCGCGCAAATTCTTTAATTTCGTTCACGACGTCGCGGTCGCGCGAGACAGGCGCGGGACAGGGAGGAAAAAGCATCGCCGTTGCTCTCGTAGGGTCGTGCGAAAAAGAAAGAACGAACGTTCTATCCTGTTCCATAGCAGTTTGTACAAAAGAGATATCCGTGTAACACCTTAGCTTAGGGCTTGGGCGACGCACAACCCCTCCCCCCCCCCCTCCCCTTCTCCGCTCCATGTATACTCCACGAGTCTACGATCGTCGTACGATTTTTGTGTACGACTTTCTTAACATTTTCTGGTAACGCGTTGCAACAAATTCTTGTTATAGGTCGGCGAATACGGCGTTAAAACGTTGTCGAGTACGGTGACCGAATTTTCATCGGATATTTCGAAAAGTTTGTTTCGGCGAGAGTAAGTTGTTGGTACGCGCGCAACAACTGTACGCGGCAAGACGAGCCGCGATAACTTGGTAAGAAACGCGACGCGATCGGCCGTGTTTCTATGTACGTACGCGTTTACGAACGAGCGGCAGCGTTTCACCGAAAAAGGAAAAGAAAAAGAGACGACGATCGGGTGTTCCGTGTTCTCGAGGCGCGGTTCCCGGCTCGTTCGATCGAATCGTCGTCGATCGTCGCGCGAGAAAACGCAGCCGCGTAATTCGTCGAAACCGTACCGCGTTAAAAATGACCGAAGCATCGTATCCTCGACATCGTATTCGAATTTCGTATTTCGCGTACAAGGTGTACATAAATTCGCCGCTTACTCGTCGAACGCAACGGCCAATTTCTGGTTTTGGACGAGCGCGGGAACGCTGGAACTACCGAGCAATCGAGGTCGTCCGTACGCTCGCTCGCGCACCGTCGAGACCTCGACCCGAAAGAGAACGATATCCGACGCGGACGGGCCGTTTCGTCCGGTTCGGTGGTTCCAGCGTCGCGAATAGAAAGGAAAACGCGAAGATTTCGAGTCCCGTTTGCTTCGACGGCGAGGGAACGGGAAAGGAACGAGATAACCCGAGGAAAAACGCAAGATCGATAGTTGTTATTATTGTAAATAGATGTATTTTAATCATAGTTACGATTTAAAAGGCGAGAAACACGAAAGAAGAAAGAAAAAGAAAAGCGAACACTCCAAGCATTACGAATCTGTGATAAATTTGTACCGTCGAATCGATAACGTTAATTTTTCTTAGCTCGGTATTCGGACGAGACCACCGTTGTATCGGCCGCTTTAATTTCGAACGAATCGAGGAACGCTCCACGATTCTACCGCGTACACACGCTCGCATCGTACAGTGTACAGTATTCGTTGGATCTTATAGATTTGTAAATGCCCGTAGACCGTCGGCGTCTAGAAATTTGCACAAAATGGTGAGAGAGAGAGAGAGGGAGAGAGAAGGCGGGCGTCGCCGGAAAAAGCGGTCGTTCGAACGGATCGTTTTAAAAACTGCGCGATCGCATCGTCGGCATTCTTCGATCGAACGATTTTACAACGCGCGGTGCTTCTGGTTTTTATTCGCGTTATTATTTATGTTGCATCGACCGTGTGACCACAATGTAGACAGAGTGCGAAAGACTCGATTAAAATACAGTTCGAAACGATAAAATCGATCGTCGATGTTTGTCCATTGTCCGGTCTTTGGAGACCTCCGTAATTTCTAATCGTTTCCCATCGTTTCTCGTCGTTCCACGCTTCGTCGAGACAACGGGCTTACGAGAACGCTTACGAGAACGCTTTCGAGACGTTTCGGGAAAGATTCGTCGAGTCGGTAATTTATGCGTTTCCTACGTTTCGTCGTCGGAAACGCGTATCGGCTTCGAATCGTCCGCGAGATCGACGCGTCTAATTCGCGTACATATTTGTTTTGACTTTGCGCGTTGCAATCAAATATGCCCCGTTCGATAACGACTAATCCGTTTCGGGATCAAGATTGATTACCTTTCGTAGGACTGCCGTGATATCCAATCTCGACGGCACCCGAGCGGATCGACGGACTTCTTCATTACGTCGTGCGATCGATCCGACGCAGCTCGCAGCGATGAAGAAGGTTTACTTGGCCGCCGTTACCAGTAAGTCGATTCGAACACGTCGCCGTCGTAGCGCGTGCACGCGTACGTGCGCGCGTATATCGTCGAGGGCGGACGAGCAACGAGATTTTGGAAAACTTTGAAAGACCGAAACGGAAAGCTAGCCCCCTTCTTCCGTATCGTCCGTTCTCTTCGCGAAGCTTCGTTTCATTTTTCCGCTCTACCCCCGTATAACTCGCGCAACCCGCGGTCGCGCGTTTCCGGACGTTGGATTTTGTTGCGTCGCAACGGGGAATTCCACTCGCGGATCGTATTTCTCGCTTTTTCTTTTTGCCAACGATTAAACGGGAACGTGGTTCGGATCCGTCGGCGCGAGATACACCGTCGTCCGATCCGACGATATTTAAACGAGCGTTACACCGGTACCCCGTGTCGCCGCGACGCCGTTTCCCTACCCGTTCGATGGCATCGTCGGCTATACGCGTATCGTCGGATCGGTCTCGCGCGACCATCGCCTGGACCAGTCTCTGGACTCTGCCACCGCCGTTGTTACCATCGTTCGAGATTCTCGAATACGTAAAACGATTTGAAGAAAAATCCGCGAACACACCGTTCCCAAGACAGCGAACAGCTGTCGCGCGATGCAACCGCATTCAACGTCGCTCGATGTTTCGAACGCGAAGAGAATCGCGTTTCGTCCCTTTCCGTTTTACTTTCCTCGAACTTCCCGACGCCGCGAATAAATTACGCCGTTTCCGCGTAAGACCGTTTCGACGTAATTTCTCCTCCGGTTCTCCGGGGAAAACGTACGTTGGAACGTGTTTCGATTTCGAAACGAAACATTCGTTTTTCAACCGGCGAGTTTCGATAAAATTCTGTAAAATCGAATCGTCAGGTTGTTTGGGCATGATGTCCTACGGCCAAATTCTCGGATGGGCGTCGCCGTCTCTGCCCCGTCTGCTGGCGCCCGACAGTCCCGTGCCGCTGACGCAGCAACAGGCCACATGGGTCACGTCCTGTCAAATGTTGGGTGCGATCGGGGGCTCGTTGCTGTGCCCTTGTCTCGTCAATACCGCGATCGGCAGAAAGTGGACCATGCTTCTTTCGGCGGTGCCGGCCATCGTGTCCTGGCTGATGATCGCTTTCGCCACTTCCGCCTGGGTAACAACTCTTTTCATTTTTCTGCCCCGTCGTCCGCGTCCGTATCTACACGCGGCGTACTTGGAGCAGAATCAGCGATACTTATCGATAAGAAGAATGAAATTACTCGATTAGATCCGATATCGTCGTTCGCTCTTCGCGATTCTTCGCGATAACGGTGACAATTTAAGCTTTGCCTCGCGATGGATCCGCCGTTTCGAGTAGCTTTCCCATCGAGAATTTTAATCCGTCGATCGCGCGCGTACGCGCGCACGGGCGCGCGAACCGTAAGAACGCGTCCTCCGCGAGCGTACGTTACAAGGCGCGCCCGCTCGTTCTCCGAACGAATGTCTCGCGAAAAGAAATCTGAACCGGGATCCCTTCACTCCCTCTCTCTCTCTCTCTCTTTCTCTCGGTCCACGCGCAGGAACTGTACGTCGCAAGAATCGTCGCCGGATTGAGCACCGGTTCCGGCTACGTGTCCTGCATAATGTACACCGGCGAGATCTCGCCTGCTCGCATCAGGGGCATTTTAACGTCGGCGTTGACGGTGGCGGCCAAGTTCGGCTTGTTCCTCGAATGGACGATAGGCTCGTTTCTGTCGGTGAGGGATCTCGCCCTCGCGTCCGCGTCCTTGCCGATTCTGTTCGCGTTGGCCGCAATCCGGTTGCCGGAGTCGCCCTACCATTCGATGCGCCGGGGAAAGCGCGAACGAGCTATCCGAACCCTGGCGCGATTGAGAGGGACCGCCGACGTCGCCGAGGAGGTCGAACGCATGGAGAAGTCCGTAAAAATGGACCTGGCGAACGACACCGGGCCGAGGGAGTTGGTCGCGGTGCCCGGGAATCGCAAGTGAGTGAAAACGACCGTTTCCTATTTTCCGACTTTGCGTTCGATCGCCATCGGACAGAGAGCGAGTCCGGTAGGGCGCGCTCGCTGTCTCGTCTCGTCTCGTCTCGTCTCGTCTCCCACGACGGATTCTCCGGCTTCACGAATTTCTACCGACGTTTCGCAGAGCCCTGACGGTGGTGGTGTTCCTGTTGCTGATCCAGCAGTGGAGCGGCAGCATGGCGGTCCTGTCCTACGCTCAGTTGATCTTCAACGCGACCGGTAACAGCTTCGAGGGCAAATACGTGACGATGATAGTGGGCGCGGTGCAGACGGTCTGCGCCGGTCTCAGCACCGCGATCGTCGACAGTTTCGGCAGACGCGCTCTTCTGATGGCCTCCGCCCTCGGCACCGGCGCGTCGACCGCCCTCGTCGGCGCGTTCTTCTTTCTCCAGCGGACGGGAGCGGACGTGACCGACCTGGTCTGGTTGCCAGCGATCGGCGTGATCCTTTACATAGTCGCGTACGCCGTGGGGCTGGCGGGGCTACCATTCACCATGATCAGCGAAGTGTTCCCGACGAACGTGAAGGCGCTCGGCAGCACGATCGCGATGATGTGCCTGAACGCGTTCGCGTTCTCGGTCACGTCGCTCTATTCGAGCATAGACGAGGCCTGGGGCAAGCACACCGCCTTCTGGATCTACGCGGCCGTCAGTTTCGTCGGCACGGTTTTCGTCTACTGCTACGTGCCCGAAACCCGCAAGAAAACGCTGCAAGAGGTGCAGGATCAGTTGCACGGACGGAAAATCTTTTAGCCTTTAGCCTTTAGCCTTTAGCTTTCAACCATCGACGCGTTCTCAACGAATCGAGAAGGAACGGGATCGGGGGACGTCGATCGGCCGGAGACCGGAGAGGGACACGCGCGTCTGGAGCAGGCGGGAGACGATCGGATTCGGCTCGGCTAGAAAACCACATAAATTATTTATTGAAAACTTTTAAACAGCCTTTTAAAACTTCTCTTCGGGATCCTATACAAACAGGTATCGGTAACACGTTCGAATTTACGATAACGCGCACGCTATCGTCGGACGAGAATACGAAAAAAGAAAAAACGAATCGGCGTTCGCCAAAGTTGAGAAACGCGCGTTTGCTCGGTTCGCGTTCGATGCGAAAATCGCGATCGACGATCGCACCCGTCGCGTCGGTCGGCGAGATCTCGGTCGTCGGCCACGGATGTAGGTTCGCTCCGTCGGGGTTAGCTTCGGAATCCGGAGCTATCCACCCGGTAAAAAAAAGAAACGAACGGCGACGACTTTCGTTGCTCGACTCGCGCTCGACCGGTTGCTCGCTGTCGGAAAAATTCTCTGACTGCGCGCAACGGCGGCTCGTCGTCGACGGGAACGGAAACGGAAACTAGTACTTTCGCGCAAGTATTTCCACGGAAGAGCGGTGGTGCGAGGTTATTCCTAGGATCGTAGGGGCACGCGCGAACACGATTTCGGGGCCGTGTCGTGGCCGCTCGTTCGCGTGGTTCGCGGAAACGAGCCGCTCGCCTCGAAGTCTCGGTAGACGGTAGACGGATCGCTTCCGCGTCGGATCACTCGACCTCCCAACGACGAGTTCCTCCTATCCGGCAACGACGGGCAACGATCGCGTCGCTTCGTCTCGTTCCCGAGCGACGCGAATAAATACGAAAACGCGGGCCCCCGACTTGCCGCGCGTTTTCAAGGTAGAAGGACGGAACGAATCACCGTTGAAACCTAACGGATATCTCGTTAAAATCTTCGTTTTCGGCGATGCCATTTCGGTGCGAACGCGTTTCGTCGAAACGAATTCGATCGGTTCGGAATTTCCAACGGAAGCGAGCTCGCGAAGAAACTGTACAGGGTCCCAAAACCAACGGGACGAGGCGTTCGCGTCGCTCGGGGAACCGAGCCGAGCCGGTTTCGAGTAGAAACGAATAGAATTACTTTTAACGGTAAGTGGTCCTTCGATCGGCGCTTAGCTTGGTCCAAATAACGAAGAACGGAGAACGGAGAACGGAGAACGGAGACATCGGTTTTCGATACCACGAAATGCGAAATGCGAAAGCGTCGCGTCGCGCGCGTCACCGATCCGTCGATATCGGATCGAGCGGCGAGCAAACGAAAACGTCTTCGTTCGATCGGCGCATCGATCCGTCTCAACGTTTCCGGCTGTCCTTTCGAACGCGACACGGACGCGCCGTCGAACGACGGTCCCCATGCCGTCCACGAATTCTTCTTCGCGCGGACGTCTTCTCCCGTCGCTTCGACGTCCACCTACCTTCGCTCGTCTTCGGACGCTTCTTCCGACTATTTTTCGGACGGGACTATTTTGCGCGACGCCGCGTCGCGTTTCCCGCCGATTTTCCGTCGATGGAACGTTTCGTGGTATCGATTTGTTCGGCGGTTGCTACGTATTCGGTAGGCGAGCGCGATGCGCGGCAACAAAAGTCTAGCGATCGACGGCAAAGGCAGCGATCGCGGCGATCTTCGAAAACCGTTAGCGATTATCTGGAATCTGGTAGCAAAACCGAATCGATCTAGCGTTGCTTATCCTCAAGAACCGTGACAAAGCGAAGCGAAGCGGAGCAGAAAATATTACGCTTTACCGAAAAGCACGCGATTCGCGCCGCTATTTTAGTATTTCCCATCTATTTTACATACATCGAATTACCTTCCTATGCAAAAAATATGATGCGGAAAGGGAAGCGTCGCATTGGGATCAGCGTTCGTTTCTACAGAGACAAAGGATGCAACGACAAAGGAAGGTGGGTGCCACGATGTTCGTACCGTCGATCAACCGTGTCGGATGTATTCGACGTTTCCATCGCCGACTTGGGAAAACCTTTCGGAGATTGTGGAAGACGCTGGCCCGAGGGTAGAATCTCGATCCGGATCGATCGTCTCTCTCTCTCTCTCTCTCTCTCTCTCTCTCTCTCTCTCTCTCTCTCTCCTTCGACAACTCGACGCGCTCGGTCGATTCGAAAGGGTCGATGATCCGTTCGACGGCCAGTTCCGATCGCTCGTGCACGCGCACGCGCAGGTGCAACAGCCTTACGACCTGCGAGAATCGACGATCCATCGGCGACGCGATCGACCGGACGGAGCCTTCGCGCCTCGGCGAAACGAGATCGTCGACGAGGTTACGGGACGACTCCGTCGTCGATGCCGGAGTCGGATTCAGGTGTGACGGATCAGACTGTTTCTCTGGGACTGGTCGATCGTCGGTTGGTCCTCGAGCCGCATCGGGGACGACGGCGTCGGATCGACGGCCTCCGAGTCCTTCTTCGATATCAAGATCGTGGTCGAGCTCTCTGAAACACGGGTAGAAAAGGCGAAGCTTCGCTTCAATTACCCCAGGCTCTGGCGCGCGACAGTATTTTCGAGCAGATCTCGAGACGGTATCTCGAGAGACTTTCGAGAGTAAACTCGAAATCGATCGATTCGATTTCACGCGACCGTTCGCGTCGGTCCGATCCGTCGTATAATATTTTGAACGCGTTCCTAAATTTTGTACGCGCGATCGATCGTACAACGCGTGGTAATAATAACGACGATCTTCTCGCAGCTTCCGTTTATAAACGGGCGCGCAAGGGCGTTTCGGGAAAAGCTTTCCAGGAAAAGCCTCGATCGATGCGATCGTCGCTTCCGATTCGAATCGCCATGCGTTGCGGCGACGAGCGTGGGAACGAGACGCAGGATTCTCGAGCACAACGTCGAGATAAAACGACCGCGTCGCGATTCCAGTCGCGCGCGAGCCGAGACAAATTTCGAGAAACGGGCGTGCTCCTTGAGAACACCGTCTCCGCTGGGAGACCGGTGGCCCGCGCCGGCGAACGATAATCGAATCGAATCGAATCCGCGCCGCGAAGCCCAACTGTTCCGTCCGGCGTTACAGTTTACTCTCCTTTGCCAATGCAATTACCGGATCGGTTTCCCACGATGCAGTTTACTGGAAATTTCTCGACGTAGTTGGTTAACGTCGCGTTATCGAGCCGGTGAAAACTTATCCGCTCCGTCGATACCAAATTACGAGCGACGCCCTGTCCACGGAGTCGGCCGAATCCCGACTCGTTGTTGCGAGATTCGCATCGACCACGCGAATATTTTTATCTTGCATAAATTACTTATGAATTGAATTGAAAAGAAAATTAATATTATGCTCGCTTCATAAATCGCGAGATCGGAGGGTACGGCATAAAATATGGCAACGATGCTCGCCGATACCGGAGCAGCGAATCGATTCTCACCGGATTTCACTTTCTGTTCCTCGAAGGCCGTGTCCGGAAATTGGACGTGCTTCCTAGCCGGTCTCCCCGTCACCGGACTTTTCTCCGAAGCGTTCCGACCCGCCGTAGGACTCTGCGTCGGTGTCGCCGTCGTTTTGGTCTCGTTGTTGGTCGGCGTTCGTCGGGAGCTCAAGCAAGACGTGGCGGTGGTCGTCGTCGGCTGCGTCGCGTACCTCACCGCTGGAACCTTCAAACGACGCTTCGTAAGACCCGTTCGACGATCGACGCTCGAGAACGTCCGATTATTTTCGGCGCGGTTTCGGATGGATCGAACCTCGCGTCTACGCGCGATACTCGGAAGAAACGCGTCGACGCTCCCGTCGAGGGCGGATCGGCGATATTTTCTCGAAACGATCGACGTTCGATCGCGACCTCCTTCCGACCGTGGAATCTATATTTATGCCATCCGTATTTGAATCGCGCACATTTTAAAAAAACGTTCCTTCGCAGCTTGCAACGAGACAGGGCGGATCTCTTGGTCGGTAGGGGTAGCGATTTCTCCGTCGAATCGCGTCGAATCGGTTCTCCGTCGTCGTTTCCCGACACCGACCTCGGACAGGAACGACGCAGCGACGTCGACTCGAACGGAGAGCCGACAGCGCGTGCCCGATATCCGTGCATCGGCGTACGGAGGCGTGCAGGTTCGACGTCGCGGTCGACGGAGCTCGCGCGTTCTTCCTCGTCGAAAACATCATAGGTTTTCGCGTACGCGCACGCGAGGCGAACAAAATGGAACGGTCGAACAATAGAATTGGTACACTTAACTTTTCGTCCTTTATCCCGTTGCTGTTTCGGCCGATCGCGAGAGACTCTCAAAATACTGACCCGGTATTCGTAGTCGTGCGCGGCGGTCCCTCGACCGGCCATATATTCTTGATACTGGGAGACGACGCACAACAGCGAATATATCTGAAGTAAAGGACAGCAATGAAGCACAGCCGCGACTCGGTCGTTCTCGGTACGCGATCCGATCGCGCGCAAACCATTGATTCTCCTTTCGCTGATTCTCGAGTAAAAATCGCGAGCTCGAGCTTAATCTTGATCGCGATCGCGAACGCGCGATCGGATTTCATTTTGGTCAACGCAGTTCTCCGCTGTTCCCGTCCAACGTTTCTTATCGTTGGTCGATTGCAGAGACATCCCCGTCGTTGGAAACCGAATTTAGCGAATTTAGCGAATTTAGCGAATTTACAGCGTCGAAAGGGGAAACGACGCGATTTCGCGTGGAAACGAAGAAGAAGAAGAAGAAGAAGAAGAAGAAGAAGAAGAAGAAGAAGAAGAAAAGGTTACGATCCGACGAACTCCAGCGATTAAAAGAGATCGCGACGAACATCGCGGAGGTAGAATGTTACGCGATCCGTTGTCGGAACCTTCGTTCGTGAAAATTTACTCACGTTCAGGCATAGAAGAAAGAAGTTCAGCGTGAACAGCATCACTTTCGCCGGGTCGAAGGTAGACTGAAACAGAACGTCGGCGAAATTAGATCGATCGATCGAAAAACGCGACGGTGCGATCGACGCTATCGAAAAAATTGTCGCTCCTCGCGAACAGCTTTCGTTCTCTCCGTCGACGTCGCTTTCGATTTTCTCCGAACTATCCGCTCTCGATCGTTCTCTGCCAGCAAAACGCGCGTACGAAAAATTCGATGCGCCGAATCGCGTGCTTCGACCGGGCTAATTTTTATAAGAATTTTTACGTTTATCCGCGAAACCAAGATATTCGCGCGGACAAACGAGCATTTTGATTTTCCAATGGCGCAACGCGTCGAGAGAGCAGCCTTCCAAAGGCGAGAACGATCGAACGGTTCCAGCTTCGTGGAACGATACGAAGGAAATATGTACCTGCTCTTCTCGTTGGAAGATCCAGCCGTCTCTCTTCCAGCGTCGACGATCCAAAGTCGAATCTCGCTAAAGTCGCGAAGGTTTAAAAACGTAACGCGCGAGCATTTCGTTAAAAAAAAATGTTCGACCGACTTCGGTCGCGCGTTCATCGACGGGAACATCGTTGTCCGGAACCGTGGATGTAGCTTCTAGATCGCGAATGGCCGCGCGTAGTCGCGTTCTCGCGAATATACGGGGGACGGCTGCGAGGACCTCGAATCGGAATTACGCGTTCGCCGGATCGATCGATCGAACGATGTACGCGACAACGAACATAACGCGGACGCGGCGATGCCCGTCTCCCGTCTTCGCGAGGTACGGCGATCCGTCGTTTCACGTTTTCGCATAAATTTGCAATTTCCTAGGAAAGCTTCGTTACGAGGTTGAATCGATCGAATTTCCAATCGCGAGGAAAGAAACCGATACGAATATCGGTCCGCGCGCGGCTCGGTATTCGCGACGACGGAACGCATCGATTCCCGACGACTTTTCCACGACGACGACGACAACGAATTATACACGGTTATGGAATCGGTCGCGTCGAGCGAAACTTCCGGCAGCGTCGCGCGGTTCGGAGAAGCGCGATTACGCGCGATCGGGCCCGTTCACGGGCGAGACTCGTCGATGCAACTTCCGTCGAACGTTCCCGCGTCCGACGGGACGAGATTGAACACGGGATTGGACGGATCGGGTAGAATCGGGTCGAGTCGAGTCGAGTCGGGTCGGGTCTGTCTAGAAAATTGGCGGATCGATCGCAAGACGGTTTCCGCGACCGAGCCACGGTGTCTCGCGAAAGACGACCCGCTTCCGCTCGGGAAACGAGGACTCGAGGATCGGAGAACCCGAGGACCCGGCAGGCTGTCGCGCGTAATTAAACGAAACGAAGAACGCGAGAGAAAATACCTCTCCCCAGGCATGCTCCCGCAGCAAAATCAAGGAACGAGATTCTTCTCGAGGAATTCCGATTTTTTGTTTGGCCCAATTATTTTTCACAAAGTAAGATATTCCGGTGAAATTGTAAGCGATCGTTGCATCGCGGAGAGGATTATTTACGGCAAACAGCAAATGTCGAGAGTCGGAGTCGCGCTACCGAGGATCGCCGAATAGTTTGTTCGTTCGTTCGTTCGTTCGTTCGCGTCGAATGCTTTTACATTTTCTCTCGTCGATCGCTCGCCGTAGAAAATTTATTCGCGACTTCTTTTTGAATCGTCGAAGATGATAGCGGGAAATCGGTGCTTAAGAAGAAATACGTTGCAACGCGAATTCGCTGCTTACTCGATACTTGTTCTTCGACGAAGATAGAGATTTCCGTTGTTTCCAGAAAATCGGGAAATCGGAAAATTGCTCTCCTTCCGGACATCCTTTATCAGTTTTTGGCACTCGAAAAAAAGAGGCGGAGCGATTTTCGGCGATCGTCGGCGCGAACGTATTTTCAAAAATGACAAAATATCCGTCGTAAAACGTTAGCCGACAGCCGACAGCCGATAGTCCGTTCGCGGAAATCGATCCTAGAGAATCGAACGCGACGCGACGACGAGAACGTTCGGGCATCTTTTCTCGCGCGATCTCAACCTCGTTCGATATTTTCTTTGATACCTCGAGAGGCTATTTTCGCGCAGGTTCGGTCAATGTTTCGCGGTAAAACGGTCGCGCGTATACCCGATAGAAATCGATCGACGGCCCAAAGAGAGCAGTCCCGGCCGAATTCTATTTTTGCAACGCGCCACGGCGCGCGCGCGCGAGCGCGAGGCCGCGACTCGTCTTCGTCACGGGTTCGAGAACTCGTGTCCGCGGATTTCCTGTTTTTCCCCGAAGCGTTCCGCGAGAACCGACCGCGCGACGCTCCTCTCGCGTGGCAACGGGATATCTTCGCGACGATTGCTGGGTCGAATCGCTTCCGACCCCCGAAAACATTTTCGCGAGAGGAAAAAGGGGAAACGCGGCCGGCGATGCTTTTCCGCGGGAAACCGCTGTCAACGCTGGCAACGCGCCGGCAAGAAACTCTCTTGCGAAGAAACCGTCGAAAGTTTTGTCGCGGCGGACAGGGATCGCTGGAAATTGAAACGTCGTTTTTTTCGGACGGTTCTCGGAGTCGACGGTTGTTTCGACGGGACCGACACCCGACGCCGATCCGATACGATCGATCGCTCTTCCGCGACGTCGTCGAACGACTGCGAACGCGAATCCCATCGAAATTTTCGCGTTTTCGATCGTCGTTAACGTTTCGCCGATAAATTCCTGCACGAGCAAACGTCGCGTTCGAACGGTTAAATCGGTCCGCTTCGCACCGATCGACGCGTTTCACGATATTTCTACGCGATTTCGCGAATCCGATAATTCGATGCAAAGATTTCTGCATTGCTCGCGCATACGCGAACCGAAAGCGTTCGCGAAACGTTGCACGGTGTACGTACGATCGATAAGCTTAAATTCTAATTCGGTTTCCGTTGTCCATATGATCCGACGAAAGACGCGCGACGTTTTCTATTTACAAAAGAACAAAAGAACAAACTTCTGAAAATGTAAAATTCTACTTCTATTTATGCGCCGATAACGCGTGCGTATACGGCCTCGACCGCTGCAATCTTTCATGCCGACGCGGCGTGACGCGCGCGTGCGACGCTTAGTTCTCTCTCTCTCTCTCTCTCTCTCTCTCTCTCTCTCTCTCGAAGACGGCGGTACTTACAGCAGCGGCGAACAGGTAGAGGCAGTGGGCCACGTCGACGAAGCATGTCGTGGTCACGGTCACGATCCACGGGATGAGAAAGCCGCGTTGATCCTGAAAGATCGGCGATCGTAAATATACAGAGAGACATGGAAACGAAACCGCGATGGGAGGAACGGAGCTTGGATCCCGGTTTTTTAATCCTTTCCGTCGGTTTCGTATTTCGAGAGGAGCACTTCCGGACACGCGTACGGTTCGCTCGAAAAGTTTAGGAGCCGGGACCGGCGGTCTCGATCCGAGCCCGGCTCGCGGCAAATACCGGGGGATCGAAAGTCTCGCGAGCGGAAGGGTGGCTCTCATTCCCTCCCGTCGCGTCGCGTCGAGGAGAATCGAGCAATAAAAAGATGCAATCCGTTGCTACCGTCCGCGATCGATCGTGGCTCCGATGCGAACGCGAATACCGACCGACCTCCACCGTCGCGGAGACCGAAAACTTTTTAAGCCGGCCGTCTTCGACGGAGGAACCGGTCGAACGAACCCGCGCGCAGACCCCTCGAACTCGGGATAGCGCGTTTTCCATTTCGACTCTGTCTTTCCTTCGGTAGAAACCGCGGATCTCCCGCGGGCATCCGGACGACGGCCCTTCGAATTATCCGCGTCAACGCCCGGCAACGATGCGCGGACTCTTGGCAATTTCCGAGCTCCGTTCGTTTCCTTCGACGATATTTCCGAGTGTTTCGGTGTTTTCGTTTCCCAAAGAAAATATCCGATTTTGGGGGACCTTTCGAATCTTCCGCGGGATCGTCCGAGGACTCTTCGAGATCTTCGACTTTTTTCGAATACTTCGAATTCGCGTTCTTCGAACGAATCCCTTCTGGAACGTTCGCGGCGCTCGGGATCCTCTCGCTTCTCTTCGCGGAGCTGCGCGAACGGCAGAGACGAGGGAAGGGAAAGAGAGGAGAACGACCTTGTTCTTTCGTCGAACTCCCAGGCTCTAACCGCGCCGGCAGCTCGTATTTCGAGCAACCCTTCGCGACGTCGAAGCGGAAGGCGCGCTCTTCCGCGTCGCGCGAGGTCGTTCCGTTCAGAACTTGACCGCAACTTTTATCGTACCTGAAATTAGCGTTACGGAGCTCGGGAGATCGAAGCGTCGGACAAAAATCAACCCGGCCACTGGCGAGCGGTCGATCGGTTCCGAATCCGGAATCCCGAATCCCGAATCCCGAATCCCGAATCCGGTACACGTTTAATCTCGAACAAGTTCCCTCGTCCGTGAGCGCGAGCGTAAGCCAATCGGGTCCGTGCCTCGAATTCTTCCAGCCGAACTCGGATCCAGCTTTCGTAATCCCTGCCTCGTCGCGTCTACTCGTCGACGATGAAACGATCGTTGCGAACGAATCGAACGCTCGCCTTTCGCCCTCGATAAGACGATTCTATGCTTCGTTAAAGAATTACGATGCCCGGGACGAGGATGCGTCGAGCGTCGCGCCCTACGTGTGCGTGTGTGTGCGTGCGCGCGCGCTCCCCCTCGCTCTCGCTCTCGCTTTCCCGCTTTCTCTCCCTCTCGCAAGCCCGAATATGGAGATCGTGGTGAAACGTTGCCATGGTTATTCCCGGTGGGCCACGATCGCGAAGTAGACGCGGACACGGACTACTAGGCTGCCGAGTTTCGCCGAGCAACGAGCGATTAACGGATGAAGAGATCGATGAGAAGGAGGAACGTCGGCCCGTCGGCCCGTCGGCCGTTATATTTAGAGTCAGAAACGTGTAGCAGAATTTTCGCGAACATTATCGACAACCCGTATACGATATCCATAAAATGAGAATCGTTTATTCGATAAAGTTAAATTCAAAAGTTAAATAACCGAAAATATATGCACGCACGTCGATATCGGGTCTTTTCGAATCGGCTCCGAATTCGTTGGTCCCGCGTGGACAGCGTTTTCTCTGAAAACTAAAACCGAGCGCCGACCTTTCTTTCTTTCTCGGTTTCTCCGTTCTTTCGTTGCTCTGTTACTCGCATCGGCAAACTGGATCGGGGATCCGATACGAATACCGAGTTTCCCGTTTGCTCGTGCAAACAGAGAGAGAGAGAGAGAGAGAGAGAGAGAGAGAGAG